ACTACGGCTACCATTAAAGAACATAATTTGTTTATATGTGAAGGGATATTGATACAGCCTTGAAGACTTATTCTCACTTTTCTTTGTCATTAAGTTAACGTTTTAAAACATGGGAACTTGATATCTCAAAAGAAAAGTTGGCTAGCTATATACCCCTTGCAAGTTATTTAAAAGAATCCAACTCTAATTTGTCAGTAAATTTTGCAGTTTTCTTTCTGTTGATATTTGGATTCCCACTTTTCAGTCATCAGCTAAAGATTTTATTTTTCCTTGTACAGCTACTGATGTAGCAGGAGAAGTCATAAAGGCTGGACCAGGAGTCACGAATTACAAAGCTGGGGATAAGGTTGTGGGTATGCTTAATCATTTTGTAAGTTCTCATTCTCATTCTCAGCTAGCATGTCATTAATCATTCTGAGAACGTTCAGAAATGATGTTTCTTCATGAAGATTGGAAAAGCACTAGCTTTTTACTAGCGTGATCGATAACAATTTAGAAAGTAGTTGATGTTTTTGGGTAATAGCTCAAGCAATTAATTGTGTTGAGCTGAGTGGGGCTTCAGGCTACATTCTTGGGGGGGGGGGTGGAATTCATCATAGCTAAAAATTCCAGTTCTTAATCCAACAACGAAGAAACACTAGTAAATTGTAATCCCCTTTAAAGTATTTTTAAGGACTTGTATTACCTATTTCTGTTCTAAATAAACCACGTCAGTGTTCCAATGAATGACATTGGTTAACCTTAGCCATGACAACTGGTTAGCATTGACCTGCTTGCTTGCTTGGATTAATCAAAGTAAATGAAGGCAGTGTGTCAAGTCATCTTCAGAATGTAACTTTTAAATGGTAAACCTTCCTTTGAAAACTTTGGGCTTCCCATTTTTTGGTTGTATTGATAATGACGGTTGAGAGAAACATATGTATGTGTGATGTTTCACTGTCTTATTTGTTGGTTCAAACTATTGGAACATCCTAAGATGCAAGATTTAATTACAACTAAATTTTCATATTGAGTCGTATCATGTTTAGAATTCAACCATCCTTTGTCAGTATGATTCGTTTCTGAGAAATGATTTAAACTTATCATTTGGCCATTTGGCGGGGGAGAGAAACCTAGATGTCGTTATTGCAGGCCAATGGTATGGTGAATTTATCACCAATTCAGTGTATCATGTCAATTGTTGTGGTTATGATTATTTTGCTGTGATAGAATGGAGGTGGACTAGCTGAATTCGCTGTGGTTAAGGAGAGTTTGACGGTTGCAAGGCCTCCAGAAGTATCTGCTGCTGAAGGTGCAGGCTTGCTCGTTGCTGGTCTCACAGCTCACCAGGCACTCACCCAGTCCGCTGGGGTCAAGCTTGATGGAAGTGGCCAGCAAGTAAATCTTCTGATTACTGCTGCCTCAGGTGGTGTAGGTCAATATGCAGTTCAACTGGCGAAGCTTGGAAACACATATGTGACAGCCACTTGTGGGGCTCGTAATATTGATTTAGTCAAGAGCCTTGGAGCAGATGAGGTTCTTGACTACAAAACTCCCGACGGGGCGGCTCTGAAGAGCCCTTCTGGTCACAAATATGATGCAGTAATCCACTGTGCAATGGGCATTCCTTGGTCTACCTTTGAGCCTAATCTGAGTGCAAACGGGAAGGTAATAGATATAACTCCTGGTCCTAGTGCTTTGCTAACTTTTGCAATGAAAAAGCTTACCTTGTCAAAGAAGCAGCTGGTTCCGCTGCTTATGATTCCTAAGAAGGAAAACCTTGAGTATCTTGTAAACTTGGTGAAAGAAGGGAAGCTTAAAACAGTAATTGATTCAAAGTATTCCCTGAGTAAGGCTGACGAAGCATGGGCTAAGATCATGGATGGCCATGCCACTGGTAAGATAATCGTGGAGCCTTAAATGTCACTTGATTCTTACAGTAGCTGTAAGCAATTAAACAATGATGCTTGGAGGTGATGTTGCTGGTAGTTGGTTGTGTTTAGGTATCGATTGCTGGTAATACTATGGATAATCAAGATTTGTGGACTTTGTTATTGAAAATTATGTTTATGAAATGTATGTTGAAGATTACACTTTAGATGTGGCTCCGAGATTTTTCTTTCTTATTTGTGTTGTCAGCTCTGTATCCGCATATTGTTCCTACTTGTTCCTGGATGACCATTTGCACAGTGATGTTTAAATGTTGTAGGGCCTGGATTTGTATGCCTTTTTCACTGTGTTCATATGATAGGGGCCATAACTTGTTTTTAGGATGACCTTCATCCGTTTGTTTTTAAATTTTTTAAATAAATTTTGAGAATATTTATTACGATCTGTTTGTAAAATTATTTTTTTACGATTGAATGTTTAAAAAGTTATTTTTTTATATATAACTTACATTATAAATATTATATTTTTTATAAATGAAAGATATTTTAAATATAATTATGATATGAAACATTACCATCATTGATGCGCAATATTTGTTGAGAATTCTATCAGGTTTTCACAGTATAGTATTGTTTTTGTGTAGATTTGTAGTGTTATTCTTGTCTTGTTTTGATTTGAAAATTTTAACTTTTTTTAATTTTATGTTAGCTGTTAGATCTGATGTCTATAAAAAAATTAAAAAAATCATTTATTAATTTTCTTTTAAAAACTATAAACATATATGATTATAAAATTATATTATTTTATTAATAATACCTTTTTATTTATTCTAAAGATTACTGATTGAGTTATTTAAAAATATAAATGTACGAGTCTAAAGAACTCATATTGTTGTTTATAGTTTTATATCCATAAAATATAATAAAATTGAACAAGGGTTGAAAGATATTAAAATCTTCAAATAAGAACGATATATAAACTTATTCTCTGTAAATAAAATATAAATTTTAAAATAAATTGTAAAATAGTCCAAAGATTTCTTAGGTATTTAAAATTATGTAATAGAGATTAGTGTGAGCCGTGAGGTTAGTTAAATATTATCTGCAAAAAAAAAAAAAAAAATTGGATTAGGGGTATATTCGTTAATTTAAGCATGTGTGATTAGGGATGGACTAAGATAACTAGCATGAATCCACTTCACTTGAGAATGCAGAAAGGGGTGGTGTGGTCATTCTAACCTTGCAAATTCCCCGACATCCCTGGTACCCTACTTTTTCTCTTCATCACTAGACATTGCACTTGTCTTCAAGCTACAACTTTTGGTATTGGATTATTGATGTCGCAGGAGAAGTCGTAAAGGTTGGATCAGGAGTCCAGAATTACAAAGCCGGAGATGAAGTCGTGGCTGGTTCTTTCTGTAAGTTTTCATTCTTATTCTTCTTGTCTATGTTAATCGGGTGAGGGTGACACTTACTCAGGCCACATAGTTGGTTCAAGTTAGGAACGGATCTAGAAACACTATGTCCCTTATTCAAGCTATAGGAACATTCCCGAGTCCCAAATTTTTGCTCCTTATCCCATTCGGTATCATGTCTATAATGCAATCATCTTGTTTGCATGGCTATCATTTCTGAGTAATTAATGCTTAAAATATGTTCGTTTGATAAACGAGCTTTGTTTTTCATCAATTTATCATCTTTTATGCCATTGGCTATGGCCTTGTTTATTTATGAAGGCATATTTTGCAATGACCAAATGAGTATGGAGGTGCAGTAGCTGAATTTGCGGGGATAAGGAGAATTTAACAGTTTCAAGGCCTCCAGAGGTATCAGCCGGTCAAGGTTCAGCTTCGCAGATCGCTAGCCTCGCAGCTCACGAGTGCCTGCTCTGGACCGCCGGGTTCAATTACAATGGAAGTGAACAGCGTCGGTCAATACTCACTACTCAGTTCAACTAGCAAAGCTCGGAAACAGCCACTTGTGGTGCTCGTAACATCGACTTAATCAAAAGCCCGGAAGCCGGTGAGGTTATAGACAACAAGACCCCCGAAGGGGCAGGTCTGAAGAGCCCTTCAGGTCTCAAACATGGCGCCTTGGGCTTTCCTTGGTCTACTTTCGAGCCTAATTTGAGTTAAAACGGCAAGGTATTCGACGTTACTCTGGAAAAGCTTGCGTTCTCCAAGAAACAACTGGTTCCAATGATTATGACGCCCAAGAAAGAGAAGCTTGTGAAAGAAGGAAAGATTAAAGCAGTAATTGATTCAAAGCATCCCTTAAGTAAGGCGGGGGAGGGTTGGACATACCACCAGGAAGTTTATTGTGGAGACTTGAGTTTATGAAATATTACTTTGCAGTGGCTTTAAAACAATACAAACGAGGATTAGAGTTTACCTGTTGTTGATGATTCTATTGTTTCATCAGGATTTGTGCATTTTGTTTTTGAAAATAATGTTTATGGAATGTAAGTATCTTTTTTTATTTTTTAGAAGTAAGATATATGGTAATGGATTAAAGTAGCATATGAAATTAAAATTATTTTATTAACATTACATTAAGTAATTATTCAATGCATATTTAATATTGTATATGATGAGAATCCACTAAGTGATCTATATAGAATAAAAATATGTTATTTTTCTTAAAAGTTTCGAGTTTGAACAATTACATCTGGTGTACGAATTATCAATAACTCGAAAGATTTTATTTAATGTTGAGTGTTTTCGCTCACTTTTATTATTTTTTACTCATAAAAATGATGATAATAAACTTAACCTATGGCCATGAAAGGTTGGCCATTGGAGCAGAAGAATGTTGAGTTCGGTGAGATGAACAACGTTGTGCAAAATAAAGGTGGAGGCCAATCAGCTACTAAAATTTAAGCAAATTTTTCTTCAGCTGATAACGGAGGATAAAACTAAATTGTAAAATATGATAAATTAAATTATTTTAAATTAAAAGAAAATTAAAATTATTATGTTATTACATTATATCACAATTTCAATTATATTTTTAATTTTAATTGTTCACAATTAAAATAAAATGAAAATATAATTAAAAAATAACTTAATTGACAAAAAATAAATTATTAATACTAAATACTCCCTTTATTTACAAACCCTAGAAATTAGTGAACACAGACCAGGGGAATTTGAAGATTACGCACATGGAACCTTCGTCCCACTGCGAATCATGGAGGCCACCGTATCCAGTACCGCATCACTACCACCACCCCAACCCTCACCCCCACCACCATCCCCATCCGATGATCCACCATCCTCGTCACCACCATCACCACTACCGCCACCACCATCATTATACAATAAGCTGCCCTCTCCACCACCACCACCACCTCATTACTTGTCATTCTCACGTAAGCCCTACTTTAGCTCCTCTTCCTTTGCAGAACCACACGAATTTGGAGTCCACAACTACGCAAAACGAAGCTCACCACTGCGGCAATCCGTAAGTTCCTCCATCACTGATTCTTCTTTCGATTCTGAAAAAAAGGAGATCCCCAACTAACCCATTTCTGCATTCTGTTCTCAAATTCATGACATGGGTTTTCATCACAGAGATTAGTTAATGAAATCTTGAATTGAAAATTTGGTTGCCAAGATTATGTTGAGCCCGGTACATTGAGCAAGTAATGTGGAGCTTTTAATAGGAATTAAACGGATTTCTCAATCCCCCGCCATTTTGATTTTCTTGCTTGGGTTTTGTTTTTCTTTGTTTGATTAACAATCAGAGTGTTGGAAGAGCAAGAACCGGAGTATGAAGAATTACAAGACATAAAGGAAGAAGAGGAGGAGGATGAGCCCATTTTTGTTCTAACAGATGAATGGAGGGAGTTTTTTGCAAAATCCGAAGCAAAGAGAAAATTAGGTAATCCATTCTTCTACTTCTTTTTTCATCTGATACTTTGTGCTTGCGAAGCTTAGTTTTATGACCATCATGTGTATTTTATTTGTGTGATACAGAGAAGAAGAAGGCTAAGAAGAAACAGAAAAATTAAATCCTGGGAATACTTTTATTCAACATGAGGCTGATGCAAAGATTATTGGTCCATCACCTTCACCATGGTTAAATCAACTTGTTTCTTACTCGAATTGCTTAAGACTTGAATCATATATGTTTGATCTGCAATGATTGAATTCATAGTACTGAGATTCATCAAAATCTTTGATGTAGTAATTGTAGAATCACTCTAGTCATCTACCTGCAAACCTCTAATAGTACCACTGGTAGATATCATACAGAAACCGGTAGGTTAAATCAAACCAGAGATATACATGGTTTCACTTCTTCCTGAACCATATTTGTCTGTTTTACATTTGCTTACAACAGACGAGACAACAACATCCAGTCATGCAATGCAAGGGTGCATGCCAGTGATTGTCAGAGCTAAAGGTGACAATAAGATCATTCAGATCAGATTCGAGTCGGATCAAAATTGGTCTAGCAAAAATTCAGATCGATTTTGGTTCAGTTTATTTTGAAGTTCATATCAAGTTTAAATCATCGTGTCCAATTCCTTATTGAATCTTGCATCGAATTAATCGATTCACGTATTCATAATAGGTTGAACTTTACCATGTCTAACACTGGCAATGTACATGCAAGCTAAGGCAATCAAATACGATGAATGTATAAGAATGAGGTCCATTTTGTATTCGTCATTTACAAGTCCCCTGTGTTTCGAAAAAAGAACACGTTTTGGCATAAACCTGCGACAGATGTACAGACCAATTGTTGAAAATGAAAAACGAGATGCTCATTAGTGCAGCTGCCATCTACTCTCAATATTTTACATATAGATAAAAGTTTCCATCAAACAGTTGGGTGTGTATCTTTGAATTTTAATCCAAACGATCAAAATTCAACAGTACTACTTGTATGTCCACTTATGCATTATCCATCATGGTTCATGTCTGTTTATCAACTCCATTTATGTACATGAACCAGCTCATTTATCCCATTCTCCTTTTCTTTTTTCTTTTTTAATGTTTTAAATATTAATGAAGGTAGGGACTAAATTGGACACAAGATAAAAGTTAAAATTATAAATTTTAAGGAATTTAAGCACCAATGACATAATTTTATCATTTTTCTTTAGCTTACATAAAACTAAAAATTGAACATATAAACTAACGATAAACAAACATTAAATTGTACACAAAATGAACGCTATATGAACACGTTTATGAATATATAAGCGAACACGTTCGCGAACAATAAAAAAATGAACACGAACAACTTCAAAAATAAATAAACGAACATGAACACTTACAAAAATAAACAAACAAACAAACACAAACATAATTTTATTCGTTCAAACTCGATTCATTTACACCTCTAATTACTTCTAATTCAGTCTTTCATGAACGATCAAAACACATTAAGGTTGATTATTATTTCAATTGAGAAAATATTTAATAGGATCCGGATATCTATGTAACAAACTAGGCATGATTAATATCTTAAAGGTTGATATATATATATATACATATATATATATATATATATATATATAGTAATTAATGTAAGATATTATGTAATTAAAGTAAGATATCATGTTAGCTATTATAGAATCTTTATACTTGTATATATATAAGATTGATGAATAAAAGACACAAGAAAGAATTCTGTTTCTAAAATTCTACAGAGCTGAACATAAAGAATAGATACAATGACCTTAGAGGACACTGCTTCCAATATAAACTGAACTTGTCAAGGCAAAACGTATAATTTCAATCTTCCTCTCTAAACCGTTAACCTTGCAAAAAGATCATGATTTATAATTTTTTTAAAGGAATACGTTTTATAAAATTTTAAGGACCGAAAACAGTTTTTTAATAAAAAAATATAAAGAAAAATCTAAAATATATTTGAATTTAAGATTTTCAGGAGGCGACTGCTCCACCCGCCTTCCTCAATTTATACCCATCTAATAATTAATGATTGTTGGGTGGAATGAAGAATAATGAGCTTCATGCCTAATTTATAACTGATTAATTAAGGCATTTGAAGTCACAAACTGTACCGTGTTAAAAAAAATGAAATGTGGAGTTGAATTCACAAGAATTCATTTACTATTTTATAAATTATTAAAAAAACATAAACCTCATACAAAATAAGGTTATATTATTATTAGTTTGATAAATTTAAAATCTATCAATACACTAAACCTTATTTTTAATTATTTTTCTTACAACAACAACAACAACAACAAAACCCAATTCCCATATGTATGGGGTAAGGGGGAGGTAGGGTAGTAGGCTGCCCCCAACGCCAGGTTGAGAGTAGCTTCCGAGAAAGACCTCCGGCAGTCAGAAAATTAAAAATATAGATAAAATGCAATGCATGTATAAATAAATACATAAATACATAGCTAAACAGTATTCATATGCAGTCATTAAAATCATATGTGCGTCTGTAATGGGAATTAATCCCTGCAAAATAATCCCTGCGAAAGAATCTCTGCATTAATAGTACTCAAACTCGATATCTCAAAGGAATAACAATAATTCATTTATTGTCAAGATCACTTAGTTCATGCTTTATTTATAAACGTGAATAGATTTATGTAAAATTATATTATTATTCATTTAAATTTTATAAATAAATACATTATTAATCTCTATTAAAATTTGTTATATCTTCGAAGTTGTCTTTTGGAAACCTTAAATATTTTATTAAATTAGACTCGATAAAATTGTTAGCTCTCCACCAACCAAGATCTTCAGATAAACCTTTTCGTCCATCGAAACCTCTTACTAGTCTACATCCCCGAATACAAGCTTCTGGTCAATTACATTACATGAACAAAACTTTTGATAGACTCACGTGATGCGTTGAAACAAAATCCAAGATTTAAATATTATATTCACCTAACTTATCGACCTACAAGTAGTCACAATGACCATACGACTGACACACACTAAATATCATTACAAATACTTCCAGTCTAGATTAGAGAAGGGGTCGACTCCTTGCAACCCTAATGATCCTTCAATAGCCTCCTTCATCAATACATCTTTTTCTCTTTTACATCAAACAACGATCGCTCTCTCATAATGTTCGTTTGTCAGTGTAGTCAAATTTATTTGTATATATTTTTTTACAAGTCTTTTGGTTGAGTTTCTTATATGATCTAAAATGGTTAGTTTCATTGTTATAGGAAAATGTCTAAATTATCTATTTAGTTTTCGATGATAGTTGTAAACCCTTATTGTAATTTTATATATTTTTACTTTTTAATAAAACTAATGGTTTATATTAAAAAAATCAAATGACTTGTTTTAAATAAAAAACTATTTAATTTATTAAAAAGTCTTTTTTGTTAGAGTATTTATTCATCATTCTAATTCTGATTGTTATATTACACAGTATTTGAATAGTTACGTAATTATTAAACTTTACTTCATATTCAGTATTTGAACCCATAATATTGCTAAAAGATGTCTCGTCCTGCCGAACGTTGTTGGTATTAAATTGAATAATCTGATAAAAATAATATATATTTTTAAGTTGATGTTATTATTATTTTTTTTCAAAATTTACATTTTTATTAAATTGTAGCAATATTTTTTTGAATTAATACTGATATCTGATTTATTGATCGATTAATCCAAATTAAGTACTCAGAGACAAATGCGACATTTCTAACTCAGTTTGTTCCCTTCCCAAGTCCCACTATATTAACTAGTTGTTGGTAAATTATAGCAATTATTTTAAAAGGAAATCAATTTTTTATAATCAGGAGGGTGGTTCCGTCTGCTACAAATAGGTAGAGCAACAATGATTGTTTGAGCATAAAACTTGAACGTCAACACCTCCTACAATCAATCACCATGGATCTTTACCCTTAAATCTTATCATTTGCATCATTGTTGCTGTTTTTATATCTTTTCTCGAGAAAAACGCCAAAGAATTCCCAGAAAAGTTGCATCCCCGAACCATCCGGTTCATTGCCACTCATTGGTCACCTCCACCTCCTAAATGGGAAAGAAACACTTTGCAAGAAGCTAGCAACAATGGCGGACAAACACGGCCCACTCTACTCACTCAAACTCGGAACCCACCGAGTGTTGGTGGTGAGCAGTTGGGAATTCGCCAAGGATTGCTTCACCACCAATGACCGAACACTTGCCACTCGAGCAAGCATCGCCGCCGGCCGGCACATAGGCTACAACAACGCAGTCTTTGGACACGCCCCATACGGAGAATATTGGCGTGATATCCGAAAGATGGTCACCGTTGAGCTTCTTTCAAGCCATCGTTTAGAGAAGTTGAAGCACATACGTTTCTCGGAAATGGACTTGTTTATCAAAGAGTTGTACGGACTCTGTTCACAAAAAGGCGCCGAGAATATCGCCAAAGTGACGATCAGCGAAGCATTGGAACGCTAGACGTTCAATGTAAACCTTATGATGCTCATCGGAAAGCGATTTTATGGCGATGCTTACTCGAAAGTAAACAGCGAGCCGTGGCGATACGAGAGAGCCATAAAGCAAACATTGTATCTCAGCGGGATTTTCGTCTTGGCGGATGCTCTGCCGTACCTTGAATGGCTCTACATTCAAGGCCATATCCGTTCCATGAAGAAAACAGCAAAAGAACTCGATTCGGTACTCAAAGTTTAGCTCGAAGAACACATAAATAGGAAAAGGGAAAACCAGGCTACCTGTGAGAGTGACTTCATGGATGTTATGTTATCTCATCTGCCGGAGGATACTGTAATTTCAGGGCATACACGCGACACCATTGTAAAAGCAACAACGTTGGTAACGGTTCCTTTACTTTTTTTTTTTTGATATTATTTGTAATTATAGTATAGTATCCGTTGATAATATTTCTTGATCATTAATAACGTACAAACACAGTTATTCGAATCGGAGACCTCTAGAGATTATGATAGTATCTCAAATTTTGTATGAATCGACCACACAAACTTGATCTAGTTAAAACTCTAAAGTTGTTTGTAGATTCTTACATTGACTGGAGGGGAAAGTACATCAGTGGCAATCACACGGGTACTTTCTTTACTGCTTAACCATCCAAATGTTCTAAAGGCCGTTCG